AGAGAGAGAGAGAGAGAGAGAGAGAGAGAGAGAGAGAGAGAGAGAGAGAGATGTTTATCCTTGATATGTTAGAAGTAGTGGTATGATATGACAATGTTTTTATTGTTGATAAGACTTGTTGATAGCTGCGAACATGACTCGAGCATCGACTCTCAAGCCTTGTTCTTCTGCTCTTCTGTGTGTAGGAGTGGTATTCCTCGCCACCTCTTGATTTTTTTTTCTTTTCATCTCAATAAAAAAAAGTCGCACTATGCAGCGTGACTAACAATTTATTACACACGTATAAGTAAATGTGTCTAAAAAATTAAAGCTTGCCATCCTAAATGAAATTGCCTACTTCAGAGGATGGTTTGGTAGTTAGTAGTTTTAGAGGGTGGTGTGTACCACACGCGTATTGAGAGGTATCGTTTGATGCCCCAATTGGAAACACAAATATGTAGCTGGATTATACGAAAAATGAAGCCTCTTAGTTTTAGTTTTAGTTCCAGTAAGAGCTTCAAGGCACTTGCAACTCATATAGGTCATAATATACATTCCGAAGGTTAGAGTGTGTTCCTAAAAAGCAATATACACAGAAAATTGGGAGAGCTATGTAGGGCCTACGATAGATGTTTGGAAGGAAGGAAGGAGCAAAACATACAGAGCACCTGCCAGCCAATAACCATCAACTTGGTCTCTTACTTTATAGGTGGCACAAGTGGGCGCTGGCTTTAAAATGGTTGACAAGTAAATACTGGTCCATAGACTACACATTAGTTCAAAAGTTGATTTAAAACTGGACATTCCACACTATTCGTTTTAATAGTCGTCGGCGAGCTGTTCAATGTACAGTTAATTTAGCTTACTAATTTATTTTTTTTTGGTGATCAGTCTTAAACCAGTTTCACTTCAATTTAATTGCAAAAGAATTTAAATTTGTTGCATTTGTTTGCTGTTATCATTTTGTTTACCATATCAAAAAAGGAGAAAAATGTAATGTTCGCGAGATATCTAAAAATCCGTTTAATCTCGAGAACTCATTCATCTACGCGCCATGCTAAATTTTCCCATAGTAATGCTGCTGGCTAAGTGATCCTGGTTTATTTTTAGTTTACGACGAGCTACAAATAGATCAATGATCAATTAATTGGGAATACCCAATTAATTACCGTGGTTTGTGATGACTGCTAATACTAAATAAACACATCACTGGTAAACCATGGCGACGCAACGTGATCATGCTGAAAGCAATTCATCAAATTCATCATTTGGTGAAAAAAACAACTAAGCATCACTCTTAGCAGTCTTTATTTATTTATCCATAATTGTACTGCATTTACATCGAGAACAATGATCGTGCTCGTCTGAAGCCGATATGATGACAAACCCCGCAACATTAAAAACCCTTAAAAACCATATTATTTTGTGGTTACACGGTAGCGCAGTGAGTAAAGCGCTTACCTGACAATCTAGAGGTCCCTGATTCAAGTCCGGCTGATGCAATTTTTAAAAAAAATTTAATTTGATTCTGGCCCCATTGTTTTGTTTCATTATAGTTTTGTTATTTTCTGGTATACGTACTAATATTATTGTCCTTAATAACGATTATGACTATTGTAAAGGACCAACCATATTATTATTTTTCTGTCACTCAATAATGCCCTCATTGTTGCTGATGGTGTGGTGGTGGTGTTTTTGTGTCCTTGTGACATTTTGATCACCGTCAACTTATTATTATTTTTATAATATTAATAATAATAATCATTATCATCATCATCATCATCATCATCATCATCATCATCATTTTATTGTTATCATTTTATTGTTACTATTACGCTGTACTCTGGCATCGTTTTACTTGTAATTTTTTTGCTGCAGGTCCCTCAGACAGAGACATAATTTGTCCTCTGTGTAATCAATCACTGAGTGACGGCCAGGAAACAAATATGGTGACACAAAAAGGTATTGCTGGTCTTCAGAAGGCAAGTCGTGCGAGAGGTGAAAATAGGCTTGACAAGACTTTTATCCTGGCCAGATTCTACACACCAAGTGTCGTCATGACTATTGTAATGAAAATGCAATTAAGCGAGATTTGAGAAGGAAAAAAGAGCATAGGTCAGCTTCAAAGAAAGCTAGTCTTCGCTCTTCAACCACTAAATCTGACTTTGCCAATGATTGCCTACTTTGTGGGAGATCTACAAGAGACCAGAGAAAGAGAGGCGATATTTTTGTTTATCAAGTCCGCACATCGAGCTGTCAGGCTAACTTGGAACTGCTGTGTTTACTACGAGGCCCTGATGACAAGTGGGCTGAAACAGTGAAAGGGTGCATTGAATATGCTCAGGATTTGCATGCCGCTGACGCAGTCTATCATCAACAATGCAATATAAATTTCAGAATTGGGAGAAACATTCCATTGGCATTTCAAGCACAAGGCTCGGAAGGAGAAAACAAGAAAGGACGGCCTGAAGACGAGGATCGACTCACAGCCTTTTCCAAAGTATAAGTCTCTTTCCTGAAAGAGAATGACAACGAGCAGCATACCGTGGCTGACTTGTGCCAGAAAATGCGGGAGTATCTGGGAGGTGAAGAGCCTTACTCTAAAGAGTACATGAAGAAGAAGTTAATGAAAACTGTGGATAGTGGCATTGTCATCACAAACATTCAGGGCAGGGATAGTGTTGTCACAATCCGGATGACTGCTGAAAAGATATCAGACCAATATTGGAAACAACAAAAAGAAAGTGAAATCTCCACAGAAAAGTTTAGGATCATACACACCGCCGCAAAACAAATCTTAGCAGACGTAAGGGATCTACACTACTCAAAAGAGTATTACCCCACTAGAGAAGTGGTCGGTGGTCTTGAGGAAAATATAAATTATTTACCAGCTTCACTCGTTTTATTTCTACAGACTTTTAATGAACAAAAAGAAGGAAACAAAATTAAAAACAGCTTCCATTGGTCAAGCTATAATGCAGGCAATGAGGTGTGCAACTGCATCACCTTCATGGATCTCGGGCTCTAATTGACTTGTTGCACAGTCTTGGATTCTGTTCCTTTTATCATGAAGGTCAGAGCTTCGAACAGTGTGCAGCCTCCAGTCTTTCTGGTGTAAGTAGTGACAGCTTTATACAGTTTGTGTCAGACAATGTTGATCACAACCTTAGAACACTGGACGGTTTATGAACCTTCCATGGGATGGGAATCATTGGAACTTCAACCCCAAGTGAGAAGCTTTCCAGGCTGATACGTCGAGATACCAGTGTAACTGCACTTCAAACATCCACCCATGTTCAGATCCCTGTCCACTTTTTTAGTTCATTAAAGATTGACATCTCGTTTAGTATGAAAAGCTTCAGTACTTCAGGTTTGAAGACATCACCAAAAAACTAGACCTATTATGGAAAGTTCCATGGCCTCTACGAAAACCGCGTATTGGTTGGTCTGGACTAATGCAAACAGTATCAGAAGGAAGTTATCCTGGTCAGAGTACGATCACCTTCTTGCCCATGATCGACATGCAGCCCACAAACATGAGTTGCATATATTCCACTCTCCACTTTGTATCAAACGGAGCAGCCAAATACAAGGTAAAGCTTGTGCTCACCTTTGATCAACCTCTTTGGTGGAAAGCTCAGCTTATTGTTGACAGTGAGCCTGCTGACAGTCACCTACGTTCATTAATATTACAACTGGGTGGGTTTAATATGGCAGATGAGCTACCTAGGAACCATCGATCATCTGATGATAGGGTCTGGACTGCGAGAGATCCTCGAAGTGATATATGCTCCAGATGCCATTGTGCATATTATGCTCCCAGGAAAGGCAGTCGCCAGAGCTGTGAGGGGACACCTTCTCGTTGATTCAGTATTGAATGTCCTACTAGCCTCCAGTACTTTCGACATCGCTCTCCCGTCAATCGTATAAGAAGAAACAGACTCAGCTGCAACAGCCCCTGACAAAACGAGGGAGATCTCTGCATCAGAAGATAAGGAAATAGAAGAAGGAGACAACACATGCTCTAAAAAATGAGATGAAAAATAATAATTGATGATTCAGATCGTTCATCTTGTCTTCAGCTTTTTGATCAGGTAGTGAAGAAAGAGGTATCCGCAGCCGTTGTAGCCTCAAGTCAAGAACTTGACTGGATAGAAACAAAATTTGCTGAAACTAAATCAAAGCTTTTTACTAGTCACACATCACGTCTTTGGCTTCAATATATGGAGATGCTGGATATACTGAGGAGATTCATCAAGGGTGAAAGAACCGGAAACTGGAACTTACATCTTCATTCCATGAAAGAAATGCTCCCTTTTCTTGTTGCCTCTATGTACTCTCTGTATGCTAAATCGGTGTACATTTACCTCCAGCAGATGCAGACACTACAGGAACAACATCTATATTGAAGATGATCCTGTGTAATTGCAAATCAGACTGTCGGTCAAAGCGTTGCACCTGCAGAAAACATGGACTTGAGTGTTCACTAGCATGTGGAGAGCGCAAAGGAATCAGCTGCTTAAACTCTTCCTCTCCTGAGCCTCTTGCTGACTGTGACGATTAGATAGCAAATATTTCGCACGGAATGGACAATAGTATAGTTATTTTCATGGATTCAAATGTATCTCATCAAGACCTTTAAAACTAGGTGTTACATACTGGTGTTTTGATACATTTTAGATTTTTCCGTAATTAGTTGTCTGTGATGACGTCATTTTGCTTAATTTGATCACCTTCCGACGTTACTATCATCCTCCTTTTTTTAGGAGTTGTTTTAGAGTTGATAGTCAAACTATTGAACCTAAAATCAAAACTTTTGCAATTAAATTGAAGTTCTGGGTTTTTATGACATTTATGGACAACTCAAAAGCTCAAAAAGTATATTTCGTCGAAATTCTAAATACTTAAGGCTGAAAAGAGCAAGAAAAAATACCTTATGCAGATACTAATAGCAA